CACGTGCTCTCTCCGTGGTGACATTCTCCATAATTAAGATTTCCCAGAGTGGTTTATCCCTGACCCAGAGTCGTTCATGAGTCACGTGGTTAATGAGTTTGTTAAAATCCCCAGGATTTTTTAAGTCACGTCCCGAATATTCGGAGTCTGAAATTGAGGAAGATGAATAATCAAATTTTTTATGGGGCCGTTCATAAATTATGTAAATCTGGGTGGGGGGAGAAGGGTATGTTAGGATTCAATGATATTTCCCCCATGTTAAACACACATAGGGGAGGGACATGGGGATCTATGTACATATGTAGAAAATCCCGATTTTAGCACAACATAATTTATGGATGACCCCAATGGGATAACATTTTTTAATTTAATTTACATATTTATCACTAACCTGGTAAAAACTTGTGCTCGTTGAGATCAAAATTGTCGCATTTCCCCCAAAAGTAGTATCCCCACCATTCCACACTTGAGTTCCGGATATAAAAATTGAGACCCGTTCTTTTTATGCAACACTTTAGTTTCGAAATCGTCCTTGAATCTGTCCATGACAATTTTCTCTCGGTCAATTTCCACGATAGCGAAAATCGTAAGTGCGTTCCGAGTAAAGGTGTGTGCCCCATCTTGAAGGTAAATTTATTAGAAAATATGTAAATATTTGCAAGAAACTTAACAAAAGTAAATTGTCATGTGACCTTACCAAGTAAAGTACCTCCTGTCGTGAGCATTTTGAGGAGCGTTTCCCGTTTAAATATTTTTGCTGCCAGGGCGACAAATTGCCTTAAAAGGAGTAGTCCAACAAGTACAGGGAAACACAGGGGCAGGATGATAAGCATGATGATTAGGGTGGTCGTTAAGACCCGCAAGTTTGCCATTTTCGCAAAAACTTATTGATTTTTGTATATTTCTTACATAAATCCGGGGAAATTCACAATTCAGTTCAAGTCACTTGTGTGCATGTAAGTAATTTCCTAAATTAAGTATGATTTTACAAACTTTTACTAAATTCATGGATATGAGTACATAATTCTACAAAAAACTTAAGCTAATTTGTCTTGGAAATATTTGCAAAATTTTGTAAAAGTTTACATAATTTACAGATTTCAAAATGGTGCCAACTCTCGCAGGAATTAATTGCAAATATCTTTCCCTGTTGAAGTAGTCCACTCGATGGACGTGAATTGATTGCTAGACCACTACATAGATATTTATTTTCATAGTTGTCGTTAGAGTTGAAGATTATTCATACAATTATGTACAGACAAACATATATTTATAAGTAAATATGTATACATATTTACTTAAGTATGTACATAAGTATGTGAATACGGAGGATTTTCTTTTGTGCCTGTTTCTTTACGCATCTACATATTTGTGTGCCAACCGGGGGCACTTGTCGATTTACTGTATGTATTTACTTACATATTTATGTGTGTATGTAAATACGTGTCAGGTAGTTTTTGCGAACACAACATTGCGAGCTAAGAGATGGCAATGGTAATTGTATGCATGTTTGTTCAGATAGTGAGTGAAGCACTGTAAATACATTTTCTTAAAATTCATGAGAGGGTGTGTAAAATTTCAGATTTTAAAAGTACAAACATTAATGGAACTTCATACATATTAAGTACTTTCTGTATTTAGGGAAATTTGTGGCGCGATCCTGTTGCTTGGGGCGCGATCCTGTCGCTTGGGGCGCGATCCTGGGCGCAAGAAATACCTTGCACATGCTCAGCCGAGGACCTGCCAATAATTTTCCATGTTTTCCAAAATAGCTCCGCCTAGGACAACTTTTATTGACCACTTCACCTTCAAAAGTTTTGCAAATGTGTGCACTTTTTAGCGATGTTGCACTTCGAGGATATACATATCTACGTATTCTACATTCCCAGACATATGATTTGTCTCTGATATGTCTTTGATATGAATTCTCTCTTTTCTCAACACGATGTCGAATCAAAGCTTTATACTTGGTGACTTTAATGTAAATATGCTGGTTAATTCTTCCGAGTCAAAGAAAATGATAAGCTTAATTGATCGACATAATTATGTTCAGCTAATTAAAATGCCTACCAGAGACGACAGTCTATTAGATTTTGTTATTGTTAAAGATAATCAAGTTTCAAAAATTATTGAGATCAATGTTTCAGAGGAGGGTATATCTGACCATCGTTTCTGCTTTTGTAAAGTCAAAGTATGTAACGAGATAAATAGATCAAAATAGATAAAGAAGCGTAACTATAAAAGTATAAATTTTGAACTATTTGTAAATGATATGGTTGAAAGTGTCAAGAAGTTACCATTTGATGGTAATTGTAATATTTTGTGTCACGCACTAACCAATAATATTCTTTCTGTTTTTGATAGACATGCTCCAATTGAAACAACTACAGTCAAGCTGGATAGAACTTCAACTCGTGTATCAAAGCGCACACAAGAACTTATACAGAGAAGAGACTTTCATTATAATTTGTGGAAGAAATCACGTAGTACTTATGATTTTTGTGAGTTTAAGATTTTGAATAAGTCAATTCGCAACTCTTTGAAGGTAGATACTTTTGATAACACTCAACGCTTAGTAAACAAGATAGGCCCTTGGGATACTCTCAAGTTATTTGGCTTGCGCTTTGGCAAAATCCAGGGAGAAATAGGTGCCAACATTAGTCTAGATCAAATTAATCAATATTATTGCTCAATGGGCTTTCCAGAAGGGGTGGCACCTTTTGATACTGTTGGAAATTTTAGCCCAATTGATATTTCCAAGTAAGCAAAATTTTTGGTGAAATCCGTTTCAACGTTTGAGATAGTTTCTGCATGGAAAGGCCTCAAGCACAAATCTTCCAAATTTCCAGATACTGTAGGCATGTCAATGTACATGTTAGGGCTTGCTCTTCCCATTCCTCATTTTAGGGATTCTCTTGTTTCAGTTTTCAAAAAGTCATTTTCCTCTGGTAGAGTCCCTGACCAATTAAAGTGTTCGCGTGTTGTCCCCATTCCCAAAATTAGTAATGCTACGAAGCCAGACGAATTTAGGCCAATAACTCTAACGCCCTATCTTTTGCTGTTGATGGAGAAAGTCTTCAGCAATAGACTTGAAAAATATCTAGACGAAAATAAAATATTGTGCCGTTCTCAGTTCGGTTTCCGTAAATATCACAGAACAGAGCACTTAGGACTAGGACTCACGGACTTGATTCGTCTGAATTTGGATAAGGGAATGGTGTGCGTTTTGATCACTGTTGATTTTAAGAAGGCTTTTGATTCTGTTCATAGAGGAAAATTGTTACAAAAGTTACATGATTTGTATGGTATATCTGACCACTGGCTACGTGATTATCTGTCAGACAGAAAACGATTTGTTGATGTAGATGGTAAAAAGTCAAAAGTATTAAAAACTATGGCGGGTGTTCCAGCTGGTAGTATTCTCGGTCCTAGATTGTTTTCTTTGTATATTAATGACATGCCGAAAGCGTTAAAATATGCATTACCTAACTACTTTGCAGATGACTCAACTTTTGCTTATTTTGGACACATCAGAAGACTAGCAGAGTTACAAAATTGTGTAAATGAAGACATGAATAATATTGTACGGTACACTTCGGATAATAGCCTGTCACTTCATGACCGTAAAACAAAAATGTTGTTACTCGGGTCTCGTTCACATCTCAGTTTAATGTCCAATTTTAATGTTACTGTTAGTGGTGTTACTATTGTTCCGTGTGACAGGTTAAAATGTGTGGGTTTAACTATTGATTCTCGTTTAAGCTGGAGGTATCATATTGATGACATGGCTAACAGGGCTTATTTTAGAATAAGAAGCTTGTACACTGTAAGGCAATATTTTACACAAAAATCACTTATAACTATTGGAGTGGCTGTAGTAATCTCAATTTTAAATTGCATGTCTTGTGTCTGGGGTGTCGCCTCACAGAGAAACCTTATTGTTGCAGAAAGAGTTATTCGGTCATTGGCTCGATTAGTGTTGCGCAAAAGAAAGTTTGATCCAGTGTCGTCCGATATAAAGTTAGATTTAAATTGGTTATTCCCAAAGGATATGTCAATTTTTCGTACACTCTGTATTATGTATAAAATTGTTAAGCTCAATAATGTTCCATTTTTTGACGGTTATTTTTGTAAACTATCTGAGTTTCACAATCATATGACTCGGGGCTCGAGCAACAATAATTTTCGTAGTACCATGAAGCCAAGGACAGAATTTGGGAGAAACTCTTTTAACTTTAGGGGAATATTATTATGGAATTCACTACCTAATGACATTAAGGATGAACTGAGTTATGTTACGTTCAAAAATAAGTTAAGGACCTATTTATTGATGAAATAAGTTAAGGTATTTATTGATGAAATAATTTAATCAACTCGAACTATTATTTGTAAAACAATATATTTATGTTAAATCAAGATGAGCTTGATATTGTTTAAGCGACGTAGATGATCAAGATATTTCCTACTAGATAGGGTTTGATCATTTTTGTAAATTATTTGACAAAATTTGTGTGCTGAAATAAATCTATTATTATTATTATTTGTATCGAGGAATAATAAGTTCAATGCCAACTGCCTAAACGATTAGCATATTATTTTAATCACAATCGCACATATGCAACGACCAGACGAACTTTGATCACGACTTGATTTATTTAGCCCAAGAATTTGACTCATTTATTTGCACACTCTTAAAAAAATTGCTACCATTTTGAAAAGTAAATGCACTCAGAATTAAGTAAATAAGTGAATAAGTAAAAAAATATTAATTTAACTATTCAAAATCCAGAGAAACCTTAACTTGATAAAGACTAAAGTTTACTCTGGATTTAGTACATATGTATGGTGTATTTTACTCAAGTCTGAATTTAAATTTGGTACTATTCAAAAGTATAACATTATTTTTAAGAGTGCACATATTTCGACTTACCTGACCACGAAGTCGTAGGTGGAAAAGACAACAATCTGACGCAATGCACATTTAATTCTTTCCAGTCAGGATGCAAAGTTCTCGTGGTGGCAGAATTTCTAAGACGGTGATCCTGCAATTAATTCTCGTCTTGGCGTCGATATACAATGTTCAGTGCAGGAATATCTTGTCCGTCGAGTTTTTCGGGGGGAAAAGCCACGTGCTTACGTATCTCCCCCTGCTGGAGGAATTGGCGAGAAAGGGGAACAATGTGAGTGAGTGATGGTTATTTTAACCCTTTGATTCGTACGTACACTCGAAATAAATTTGATTAAAATTTACTCCATTTTGAGTAAAATTACCACCAAAGCAACTATTGAGTAAAATGTACTCTGACAAAGGTAAAATGAACTCAAGGTTGAAAGATTTTTGCTCAACCTTGAGTAAATTTTACCTTTGTCAGGGTAAATTTTACTCAATAGTTGCTTAGGTGGCAATTTTACTCAACTTTATTTACAGTGTAACAAAGACAATTCTCGTTTTATAAAAAAAATCTCAGGTGACGCTAATCGCCCCAGCCAAAGGGCTCACCAAGGAGCCCAACATTCACCAAATCCACAGCATCGATTTTGACCTGATTTGGAAAGACTATGACCTCTTCGCCCTGCAAGAGAGGAACGAGCACATGAATCCGTTCACCCTCTTTACCCGCCATCTTCCCAAATATTGCCGGGAAATGTATGACCGTCCCGAAATCCAATCCCTGTATGGACAAGACTTCGACCTAATCATCCTCCAAAATCTATTTAATGAATGTTCCCTCGGATTTGTGTATAAAATTATGACCGGAAACGGGACCAAGAAATCGACCCCGCTCGTGCTTTTCTCCGTTATCAGTGCGCATTACGGGATCGTGAAATATGTCGGGGGTCACTACCCGAGTTCGTTTGTGTCCAATCCGTTCCTCAACTTTGGTGATGAAATGACCTTCACGGAAAGGTTTGTGAACTTTGGGGTGAACTATTTCTTCCAAGCGGTCTTCAGTTTGTACTATGTTCCCGTGATGGAGGACGTCTACAAGGAAAAGGTTGGGCGGGATGTTCCCCGAGCCGAAGAGATTTTGGGCATGACTTCCCTGATTTTGTCGAATGGGCATTTTTCGCTTAGTCGACCCAAACCAAACCTCCCCGATGTGGTGGACGTTGGCGGGATGCATTGCCGAAAGGCGGAGCCACTGCCGAAGGTGGGTAGCATTTTGGGAATTTCAGTACTTAACTAGAAGAAATCTATTTAAAAAACTGGAATGAAGGTTTATTTAAATATGCACTTTTAGAAAACCGGTATTAAATCGTTACTGACTTGAGTGAGTATATTTGTATGTATGACTCTACAGGCCAGGAATTGGACTAAGCGAAATATGTCCAAATTATTCGCGCAAAATTCCCAGAGCACATCTCCGATGATATTTTTGCACATTTCATGTTCTGCCGTGTTTAGGACATGCTCATAAAAAAATTGGCCAGCCACACCCACTTATATAGGGTGTATTGAGAAAACCATCCATCTTCTGAACTTTAACTTTGAGATAAAGTGAATAAAAAATCAATAATCTACAAACTCGTATATTCAAATTTTGAATAAATGGATAGTATTGAACGAATATTTTTTTCCAATTTTTAAATTGAATGTAATTTAACCGAAACAATATTTTGTGATCAGGTATGTATGTATACATATTTTAGTAAAATAAATAACGGACAGTATTGATACTTATCTAGGAAATTGACGACTTTCTCGCCTCCGGAAGAGGAGGGGACGCCGACGACGCAGGTTTTATCCTCTTCTCCCTCGGGACAAACCTTCTCTCCAGCGCGATGTCTCCTCAAAAGCGGGCCGTCTTTGTCTCCGTTTTTGCCCGTCTGAAGCAGAAAGTGATTTGGAAATATGAATCAGACGATGTTCCAATGAACGTTTCAAAGAACGTTTTTCTTAGCAAGTGGATTCCCCAGCAGGGGCTCCTCGGACATCCGAAAATTCGCCTATTCATCACGCACTGTGGGGGTGGAGGGACTGAGGAGGCCGTCTTCCATGGAGTTCCCCTTATCGGAATCCCCTTCTACGGAGATCAACCTCTTAACGCACAGTCCGCCGAGAATCGCGGCTACCTCGTCCGTTTAGAGTGGAACGACTTGACGGAAGACAGACTCCTGGAGGCAATAAATGAAGTCCTCAATAATCCTAGGTGCGACTGCGTAACTAATTTTTTTCAGTTGAAAAGTTGAATTTCCCTTTACAAAAAATTTACTTTGTTTGTTGAATTTTAATCACGCATTTGTAAAGGGAACGTTCATAAAGTATGTGACCTGTACATACATCAGCATGCCCGCAGTTTTTAGTATCTAAAGCATGATGTGATAAGCCGTACACTTTTATTTTATGAAGGTCGACTAATAAATACACTTGTCATTAACTTGAATATATAGATATCGGAAAAGTGTGCAGGAATTATCCGCCATTTTCCGGGACCAGGTCGACAATCCGTTGGACAGGGCAGTATTCTGGGTGGAATATGTCATGCGTCACAATGGTGAGAATTAAAATAAATATACAATAAGGTTAAAGTCAATAATAACAACTTTATCTGACGCCACAATTTCAGGCGCTCCTCACCTCAGATCGGCGGGGCGAAACCTATCCCTAATTCAATACCACTCACTCGATGTCGTCGCGGCGTACCTGGTCATTATATTTGCTTCGCTTTTTGTGCTCTTTATCCTCGCCAAAAAAATTCTCAACTTGTTTGGGCTTATGCTTCCTAAACCGAGCAAGTATAAAACTACGTAGAAACATAAACAGTACATATGTACACAATTAGAATTTTTAGCTGAACAGACAATTTTCATTATTTAATGCGTCTTAATTTTATAAATAAAACGAATCGTTTTAAACGATGCTTTAGACACATAAATAGATAATTCATATCATTAATGTACATATGTATGTATTTATGTATGTACGATTGCAAAAAAATCGACATTAGGATTGTGTAAAATAAGCGCAACTAAAAATTATGTATACGCATTGTTCATGCTTTCCTCGAAAATATATTTGTTAAATCTATTTCATAACTAAATTCATTTCTAAATACACGCAATGTATTTAACACAATTATTGTAACGTTTTTATCTCGTGAAAAATCGTCACGATTCATGACAAACTCTTCTTTATGCTGACATGACATTGATCGCACGACAACAAATTATTCAGTTTGACAACTCCCCATCATTCTATTGAGATTAATTTTCGTCAATCCCAGTTACAGCTTTTCGTTCTCGAAAAAAATCAAATAAAAGTTTCCGAAAAATTTGCATAATGAGAAAAATTAAAAACCTGCTGATTTTCCTTCTCGTCACTCAAACCACGATCAATTTAGTGACGTCGTCCTGCTCCGTGTACAGTGTGTCGAATATTGTCGACGAGCAGCCTGACGAAGACACCAATTCAAATAACACGAACGAGACACGTATCGTATTTTATGCAGAAATCGAAGAAAGCCTCAAGAAAGGAACGGGCGTCTGGAATTTTAAAGATTGCAAACAAAAAGACCTCCTCGACCTGTATTATGATGAAATCGCAGATTTGCAAAAGTATGTACATATATAAATTGGCCAACTTTTTTGCAAATTGTTTTATAACTAGTTGCCATCTATAAGACTTATGTATTAAGTCGCATAACATTATTTTAAAAATTTTTCCAAAACTATTTAAATGCAAACTAGTAGATTTTTGGGAATAATTACAATGTTAGGTAGAAACCTGATCAGGGAGATATTGATTGCTCGGTATTAAATTGGCTACCGCTTGGTGTTAAAATTATTAATGCGTAACAAAATTTGCTGCCAAGATGGGAAAATTTTAATACCGAGCTACAATTTTGTACATATAACAAAATGGTATAACTTATCCATACCAGATAGAGATTTGAATACCGCTTGGTATTAGTTTAATACTGAATTTTTAAGAGAGTACTCGTAAGAATTGAACTGCATACATAAAATCCTTTCATAAATTTTCGAAAATTAAATATGTAGAAATCTAAACATTGTTATTTAAAATTTTACACAGGTATTTTCTGGTTTAATTTTCTGCATATTTATTCCATCACTTAATTTGACCTTATCTTAATCCCCAGGAAACGATATCCTGTCACGATAACGACTAGCTCTGATCCAAAATTCAACCAAAAGCAAATCTACACCAAAGGCGGGCTCGGTTTAGTCTCCCGCTTCACCGTCATTCCCGCCGTGATCATGTACCCGAAGCCGTCCGAAGATGAGGAGGCCTTGGTCGCCAGGATCCTCGACTTGCGACAGCGCGTCATCTCCAAAGCGATCAATCCCCAGCAAACCTTCATCCACTTGGAAATGACGCCGTCAAATTTCTCCTCGTTTTCTCGCCGTTTAGAAGACAAATTTCGTAATGATGAGACCAGAGTTCACTTTCTTAATGCGACCGATATCTTTCAAATGATTTACCAGCCGAGAGGAGAGGTCAAGGAGATTACTGGTAGAAAATAATGACACGATTTAAGCCGTACTTATTTACTGACTAAGGTTTGTAGTAAAATTCGTATTTTCTTTAAACTTAAAAAAAATTGGTCATATTTCTAAGAAAAATTATCCTATGTACAAATTTTCGCAAATTTGCTCAGGTCAGGGGAGTGTATTTGGTGGGTGAAAGTTTGTAAAACAATTTTACAAAATTTGCGTATTTTGCAAATTCCCAATGACTGCGTGAATTGATTTAATGCTAAATAAAGTAAAATTTTGTGTAATATATATGTGTTTTTAATAAATTATTAAAACATTTACTGTGTAAGTGTGTCAAATTTTATTTATTAGCCAAAACAAGCCGAATTTCGATCTGCTAATTTTGCATAATTAGCTGAAAAGTTCTTTGAAACTTTACTATGCATTTAATTATTTAAATATAACACTCAAATAACTGTTCAAATAATAAGCTATATAATTAATTGGTATGAATACGTAGCATGTCGTGTCGTGAATTTATTCTAACTACACAATACTAGTCTCCATCCTGCATACAATTAATTTACAATGCGAGTTATGCGTACACATCCGGTCAAAAATATTTTATTGCTCATTGTAAATATACCATGCTTGGATTTATCACTAATCGTATGTAAGCCCACCATTTTACGTGAAACCAATTTCATAAACATCCCTCGGATTTTGCAACATCGTTTCCGAATATTTCCACATTACGAATTACCTCCGGAATTTTTGCTTAAAATGTGGCTCAAGTTTGGCCTTATTTTTACAGCTATTTTATTGTTTCCAAACATTTCTGCCGAATTGAATATCAGCGTAAGACCTAAATACTATGTACAGATATGTATACTTATCAAATTTTTCGAAGTTTTAAAATTATAAAAATCCTGTAATTTCTTTATAACAGTGCTCACACGGAAGTCCGAGCGGGTCGCAGTGCAAACAGAGTCGAGACTGCTGTTCCAATAATTGCATAAATATTGGCAACACCTCTTATCCGACGTCTCGTTGGAAATGCGAATGATAATAAGTTCAATACATATGTATTTATGTAGAATAGTGCAAGTAGGTCAATTATTTTAAGTACAGGTTAAACTAACTTAAAAAGTTGTAGTTGATTAGTAATTTTACGAAAAACTGATTTTGATACCAATTTTAATACAACATATTTTTCAGCAATAAAAATTCTATATCTCCGATATATTTAGGTAATATTTATAATCAATCTTCAATAATTTCGGGCCAGTCTGAATAGAAAATTAGTTTCTACGTAATTATTTCGATATGTGAAGCAACTTTGGAAAAAATGCAAATTTAAAATGATCGTATAAATATGAATATCCTCGTAAAGGGTGCCAGACAGTGCATGCATAGCATTAAATACGTACAGATGTATGTAGGTGGTATATGTATATGGATTAAATAAATTATCGAGCCCTCCAACATTACATCGTAAATTGGTAAATATACGTAGGTGTTTTATTATTGATTTTCAAAAGGTATGTTCCGCACTGTTTGTGACCAAACTTTTGATGAAATAACAAACTTCGAATAAATTTAGGAGGTTGTGATTTTTTTCAGTTCTGTAGGTTAATATGAACACTAGAAATAAATCAGCAAACTTTACCTCGACGGAAAAAATGTCAGATTTGCAAATTAAATATCGTAGCGTGATTTAATTTTTAATGCTGGAGGGGCAATACGTGTCGCAGATTTATGATCGAATGCTTAAAATTTACGATGAAAACTGCCCAACACAAAACACAAATTCAATTGCGTCAATAATTTCAAATGATGGCGAAAAAAGTCTCGGACAAAAAGCCGCTAGAACGCCCAAAATCTGTTTCTCCCACAGAAAGGCTCCGGAAACTAGAGGAACCAATAATGAGAGATCCGCGATTGAAACTGCCCTATTTAGCAGATGAGATGGGTGTTCCAAAACCAACAATTTGTTCCATGTTAAATTCTTCGGTATGAAAATGGCTTCCTCCCGTTGGGTACCAAAATTGCTTTCGGCATCTCAAAAACAGGATCGAATCGACTTTTGGAATGAAACTTTTGCCCTTTCAAATGAAACCTGGAACTTGATTTATATTTTAATAGTTGGATATGATACTTGGGTTTACTATTATGACCCGGAGACCAAATAATAATTCACACAATGGAAGCACAGGGGGTCGCCACCGCCCATGAAAGCAAAAGTGCAAAAACCTGCCAAAAAATTGATGATTCCCATTTTCAAGGATACCAAAGGTCCCCTCCTTATTACATTTATTGGTAAAAATACTATGATAAATGGGGCAGCCTATGCAGGAATTTCGAAGGAGCTGTGTGCTGTGGTTGAAGAAAAACGTGGGGTCAAAAAAAAGAGTTGGTGCATTTTTAGCACGCCAAAGCGCCACCTCATACCTGGCTTTTGCGAGGGCTGCTGCAGACGGAAATCGCTTCACCTAGATAAACCACCTCCTGTACAGTCCAGACATGACCCTTGGTGATTATTATTCGTTTCGAAACTTAAAGAAAGACATCAGGGGGAAACGGTTTTCTGATGATAACGAAATCAAGTCGTAAATTTTGGCATATTTTCGAGGTAAATTTTGATGAGCTATTGCTAGTGTTAATGTTAACCTACAGAACTGAAAAAAATCCCAGCATCCTAAATGTATTTGAAGTTTATTATTTCATCAAAAGTTTGGTCAGAAACAGTGCGGAACATACCTTTTGAAAATCAATAATAAAACACCCACGTATCCATGTATGCACGTGCATATGTATGTTATTTATAAACCATGCAAATAATAAAAGTCTTGAAATTCTTACAATGCAAATAATTGGTTTTGTAAGAATTTAATCTTTTACGTAGAATGGGTAACCAATTCTTGCGTGTTTTGCTAAATATTATTGACCTATGTCTGCACATATGTACCTAGAGGTACATACATATGTGTATGTTTAAACTAATTAATTAATGTTTCGCTGTATGTCTACAAATTTTAATTCCTCATTTCTTCATTTCTCAGCCTATCTACCCACACTTTTTGGAAAAACTTAACGTCAAAATTTAAAATACATACATATTTACTTATATCCATCAGATGTCAAACATCAACCGCCACCCAGAAAACTTGTTGATGCCGTCATCAACTAATTTTAATTAGAATTACATACGTCGTAAAAAATGAATCTTTATCCATATGGAAGTATTGATACACAATTAACCTAAAACCTCTACTTGCAACTTATTTATAACAGACAGATTAAATTCCAAATTGTTTATTTAAATTCTCTGTCACATAATAAGCCACTGTTCAATCTCGTGTTGCATACCTGTACCCAAATATTGACAAGGCAACCATAACCCATCCTCATGCATAATTGTGTCACCCACATATTTATTTACCAACTTACATAACTGTTTCGATAGTCAATGCCATTCTAAATATAGTGCAAGCTGACATATTCATTTAGATATTTGTGTCAACGATGACCAATCCCTGGATTATGAAATGTTTTATGTAACAACCAGTGTTCTCGTCCAAAACTATTTTTTCCCAGGGCAGGTGGACAAAATGGTTGAAATGGTTTTAAACGTCCAATATGGAAAATATAGGGGCGCATTTATGGGTAATAGATATCTACTAGCCTCTTTTATAATCAATATTTCCAGCTTTAAACCTAAAATTCGTCATCGTCATAAATTTCTGAAAATTTTGAAACCTAACTCCTGAACAGTTTCGATTATATACGTAAAACTTCACGTTCTTCGTTTTTTCATATATATGTATGAATAAATGTCAATTTTAAAGGTTATTCGAGCTGAAACGTATGTATAACCAACTTAAATACATATTTTCCCAGAATTAAATGCCGAATAAGTATACGGGGTTAAATTTTGGAAATATTAAGTGTATTCAAGTTAGGAATTTTTCAAACGGATTTTTCCTCATTTTTACAAATTGTGGATTTTTCGAATGGTTGACAAAACGTGCATATTTCACATTTTGTCCCACTTATCAATCAAAACCCTGGTAACGTAGAAGCCGAATTATATAATTGGAATATGTACTTGATTACCTTACCAAAACTAAATTCCTATTTATTTACTATCTTGAAACTATTTCCTCATAACAGATTCCGCATTATGAAATAGTCAGATACGATAAGAAAACTTATGTCATTATGTCCGTGAGGGTTACATAAGAGTGACAAATGTGTCAGTACGAGAACAATGGAGCAGATAAAATAAAGTTAAAAATACCATCAATAACTGATCAGAGGGGGTATAAAAGGAGACTCAGGATGCACTCAAAATTTAATCCGCTTCTTCCAAACGAATAAAAATCCTCCAATTTTTTGAAAACCAGTAAAAAATGAAAACTTTCGCCATCCTCGCTGTCTGCATTGCTGTCGCCTTTGCGGGCGTCGTCAACCATCAAAATTGTGGTAAGAGAGACATTAATATATTGATCATTTTCTCATAACTTTTGTCAGAACTCTTAGAAATCCAGTATTAAAATAAACCGCACCAAACGCACACTCTAAATAAAGTTGTGCACAACCAGTTGTGCAAAAGAAAATTGGTAATTTTTGCAAGAAATTTGGCCAATAAATAGTTGTAACGGAGTCAAAATTTACACAACGGGATTGTGTAATTTTAGTTTGCACTTATGTTGGTCTAAATTTGTCTTCGTGTTGGCTAAAATTATTTTTGGTGATTATTGGGTAAAGATTACTAATAAGTTGGCCAATTTTTAAGCAAAAGTTGTGTAAATTTCCGTTTACACAATTGTTGGGTAAAATTTAACCAACAGTTTGGGGTAATATTGGACAACAAGTGGTTAAAAAAAGTTTGCTCAGTATGCCACCACCAAACGCCACCGCGAGGTGGAAGACTTAAAAATAACGACCGAGTTGAAGAGATTATAATTTATTCACCACTTAAAATTTTATAATTAATTATAAAACTAATCAAACATGACAGAACTATTAGAAAGTGCTCTGCATAATTGTGCTCTCACGCATTATCTTGAGAAGTTTAAGGGTAAGGACATCACAAATAATTATTATACCAAGGTTTTACATAATAAAAATTTTGCAAATTCTCAATAGATAATGACGTCGACGACAACGTCTTGAAGACTTTGACGGATTGTGCCGCTGGGTCCATGGAGGAGCGTCTCTTAGCTGAAATTGTACCATCGGTTGGTCACCGACTAAAGTTAATTGCAGCTGTTAGAGAGGTTAGTCAGTTGAGGTCAAGCAAATTAAATTTACAACGTTTTTCTTGTAGTATTTGCGGAAGTTATTTTGCCTCTTTTAAAGATTATTGTATATTATTATATAGTAAAATTTTACTATTTCCAATTTTCTTCCACATTTAAAAGTTCAGTTACATAACATTTTTCCACTTTTAATTGTAAAGTCTAAATATTTAAAGGAGTATGGAATGAATTTAATTCTCAAACCAATTGTAATTGAATTAAACTCCTTACACATAAATTCCACCAGATTAAGTTTTTTATCAAAGACTCCATTTACACATGTACAAATACTTCAATTTTGTGGCGATAATCTCGGTTTGCATACACTATTTGGGTTCACAGAAAGTTTTAACGCAAATTTTAGATGTAGATTTTGTAAGATGGGTAAGCAGCAGACTTTCACTGCCATTGAGGAAGTAATCGCACAAAGACGAAGCCTAGAAGACTATGAAAATGATTTACAAATTAATAATGTTAGCTTGACAGGTATTAGGGAAGGGACTATTTTAAATGATATTAAAGGTTTTCACATTACATCCAACTTTGCTCCAGATATTATGCATGATGTACTGGAGGGCATTTGTATAACGGAATTAAAACTGTTTTTAAAGCATGTGTGCCAAAACGGCTTTTTCTCTCTTACAGAAATTAACCACAGGATATCATCGTCCATTAAAAGTTATTCTCATTCCATTTCCAAATTACCAGAAATTGACATCGGTTTTGTTGAAGGAGACAAAAAAACCTGCTTTTCTGCATCGGAAATGAGCCACTTTTTCTTAATTTTCCCCGCCATATTTGGTGATAAATTGTCTAACGACGATAAGCATTGGATTTTAGTTTTACGGTTACGTAGGATTATTAGAATCTTAATGGCACCACAAATAAGTAGGCCAGGGATCAAGTTGCTAAATTATTTAATTTCTGAGCATCATGAAACATTCATTAACTTGGCTCATAGTAACTTGACCCCAAAATTCCATCACTTGTTACACTACGCCAACGCTGTAGAGCACTTGGGACCTCTTAAACAATATTGGTGCATGCGGTTTGAAGCAAAGCATCGATTGGCAAAAACTATTGGCAAAAACTCGTACAATTTCAAAAATATTTCCAAGACTATTGCAAGGCGCATATCACTTAACATTGCATTTTCACTATGTGAAGAAGTAGGCAGTGGAATAAATTACAAGTCCGGGTCAAGGACAATGTTTAACGATTTGAAGGTTGTGTTCGATTTTTCTAAACTCTCCATCAATCCAAACGACGATGTACTTATTGTTGACTCGCTCACAATTAATGGCACAAAAGTTAAATCTGGAAATTATTTCATTTTGAATGACTCTGCTTCCGAGTTGCAATTTTGCCAAATTTGTTTGTGCTTAATTTATGACGAGAAGGCTCATGTTGTTGGAAAGCTGGTAAAATGTGAAGAATATTTTTTTAATTCATTTTTGTTTAAAATATCTGATTTTGGGAAACCGATTTTAATTGACCCTAAAACCCTAGAGTTAGAATATCCATTATTGGTTGTCAACAACCTGGATGACCCGCATGGTGATGGTTTAATTTGTTGCCCAATTGAATTAGTTTAAAAGAATTTTTTGTACATATGTATATATAGTTAGGGAAATTAAGCTCAGAGACTGAACAGCGAGCAGAGCGAGCACAAGTGGAGGAAACAATGAAAATAATAGTTGTAAGAACCATAAATTTTATTGCATTCAAATTTTGTTTTAATTCACAGCTATGTAATTGGTTGTTAAACCATCTTTTTTATTACAGATTGACAACAATATTAGCGTCAATTCTCAAAATTCTGAGAGTGTTGGAGATTTGACAGTGGAGTTATTTTACTCTCTTATTGCATGAAGTTTGTCAGCTGGCATTGGTCAAAATTTAACAATATACTTAGTTAATTTTACACAATTAATGAGTAAAGTGATTGGCCAACTGAGTTGGGTAAAATTTGTATAACAACGTAGCAGTCCCAAATTTCACACAATATTGTGGTATAATTTGGTCACCTTTAGAGCAGAATTTCCACAACTTTATTTAGAGTGCACATAAAGAAGTAGCTTCAGCGACTTATTGGAGGAGACTTTATGAGTACAATCAGCCATCGATTTTACTTTATCTCATTTCACCCCAGCCATCGATTTTACTTTATCTCATTTCACCCTAGCCATCGACTTTTAAAATCTCATTGCACCCCAACCTCGCCCCCGACAGCGAGGGAACACATAATTTCAATCTGACATCGATGACATCTCACTGACATCTCGCATGACGGCACATCCCGCATACTTATCCCAGATTTCTATCTAAAAGTGTACTAATTTTCCTAAAATTGTTCATGTAGGTGGTGACGGACAAGTCGTCCAAATTAGGATAAGCGATTGCGAAGGGTCAATCGCAGAAATGATTCCGGGCGTTGAATACCTCTGCGAAGGCGACATCATCCCCGCCAACGCGTCGGATGCGCTCCATCTCACCGTGACGGTGCGCTACCAGGGCATCGATATTCCCGTGATTGACGCCGTCGTGCCCAACTCGACCGTGCTTCCGGACGTGCAGTACACGCTGGCCTGGTCCGTCACCCCAGGCGCGGTCCCCATCGGGAACACGGTCCAAATCACGTCCGCCGTCTCGGACGAGGCGTCAGGTGTGCTCGCCATGTGTGCGACAATCATGGCGAAAATTATTGCTCCCGAAGAAACCACGACAATGTCTGGGTCTGAACCGACGATATCTGCTGCGTACTAAAATTGTTTGGGTAATATTCATGAAATTAATTGTTTCCTGGTTTTAGGAATTGGCATAATTAATTGTTTTAAATTAATTTTGTAACATCGAGATGAACTGGGTGAATAAATTATTTCATATTGTAACTTGCGATACAGTTGTGGATAAATTTTGCAAAAAACATGTTGGAAAATACTTGGCATTGAAGCTACTGATTAGTACTTGATTACATCGTTTAACTTTATTAAGTAGCTTAAGCTACTCTATGTGAAGACGTTGTCGGTCCGTCTGACTGTGAAGAGGATATCGAGAGATTGCATAAAGATAATCGAGATAGGTTCACTGGCGTATCATACAGATGACCCTAGGGGGAGGATCCATGGGGTTGATCGGACCAGCCCCACTTGAGGCGAGGGGCTGGGATGGGGGGCACAATGCGATTTTTACTGAAATTGAATCTATATGGAATCTATAGATGAAATATAATGAAATTAAGCGTCCCTGCACTGTTATGGACGTAGTCGGAGTTAAGTGAGACAAAGAAAATAGATGAGATATGTAAGTGCTAATTTTTATACTTTATTGTAAAGTTAATTTTTGGTATTATACTAAACTCCGTTTCAAGCTACTTGATTTACTGCGTTGAGTACATTAGCCGAACGAACCGAATTATTTTATTATTTTACACCTGTTATTTTTATTTTGGCGTTTAAATCATGCAAAATTGAATAATTTAAACGCCAAAATAAAATAACTGGTGTCAAATAATAAAATAATTCGGCTCGTTTGGGTAATGTAATTCACTTGAGCTACTCAAGTAACGTGAAACAGAGTTTACAAAACTATTGGTAAATTGTAAATTGACCGTTTGTAAATTGACCGTTTATTCCAAAAACTTAACGTTGCATTAAAGTAGGAAAAGTTGCATTTGTCCCAAAACTCATCAAAATTTGATGATCAAATTGATGCCAATTAAGAAATTTGCATTAGAAGACACTGCAGAGTGAGATTACAAATCTCAAATTTTAGCTTTGCATAGTAAATAGTCGAGTGGGAAAAATTTTCCCCACGCTATTTTCATTAAAATCATGCATAGGGAACGCGCATAAAGCAGGTGACAATTTTTTACCTTTGTAGTGTGACTAGTAATGATGCTCAATGTGGTTGGAAATTAAACTTGCTTTGAGTAAATACCATAAATATCTAGCTATTTGTCATGACCAAATCGGTCATGCACGGTCCCCAAGAAAGACAAGTATGCATAAACGGTCAAGTCAATATTTAACATGTGTTCTAGCCAGGAGTAAAAAAGTACAAGTATTTTACACATTTCTTTTTACTTATTTCAAATTAATTAAAAGTAATTAATTGAATTAATTGAATTCCATAAATCTAACTCGCTGGTAAGACCATTCAGACACGCAATTCACGCAATCAGTGGTAACTTTGTAAAATCTGTATGTACATTTAGTAAAAATAATTTTGCCAGCTTTTCTAAAATAAAATACACCCTTGATCTGAGCAAGCTTATAAAAATTTCTAAGTTAATTTTGCTTGGAAGTATTTTTAAAGTTTTTTATTAGTTTGCAAGTTTACAGAATTTACGGATTTTACAATATCACTCCGTGAATTGTCTCAATACACAATATTTGATATTGAAAGTATGTATGTAAATTATAAATAGAAACACAAAGTCATATATATTTATCTATAACAATGCGATGACGATTTTGCGTCAATCGCGCTCCGATTTTGACGAAACCACAAGAATTATGAAATATGTAGATAATTAAACGTGTTTCAGGATTTTTCACAATGCTCAGTTTAAACTTAATTATGACGGAATCCGTTAAGGAGGATCTGTATTTCTCTCCCTCCCTAGAAAATTTTCACGGGAAAAATACAAATTCTCCAAGGATTTCTAATTAATTAGTCAATCTAATTAATTATATAATTAAATAGCATGTTTAAACTAATTATTAATTACTAATTAAGGTTAACTAGTACTACCAAAGCTAATTTTAATTACTAATTAATTAGAAAATCACTGAAAATCACCAATTAATTGGTCAATGTTCTAATTAATTAGCTAATTAATTGGCTTAATTAGTAACCTGAGTTTAATTACTAATTACTAATTAATTAGATAAAATATTTGATTTCTAATTATCAATTACTAATTAATTACAAATGTGGCCAATTAAAAAGCTCTGAAATTCTCACGCTCACGGATTCCGTCATAATTTCGTTTGAACTGAGTAGCATGAAAAATCCTGAACCACGTGTTTAATTATTTATCTAAGGTTGCATAATTATCGTAGTTTCGTCAAAATCGGAGCGAGACCGCTGGCGTCATCGCAGTGAAAGTATTGATTAATTAATACTTAATAAACATTGTTAAACAGTAAAATTTGGTTGCTCGTATCGCCCGACAATTTCTCCCCGAAGTTGGAATCTCCACCAGAGGAAAGAAGCGTAGAGGAAACCGCACTAAATAATGCGATCGTAAGCCAAGTATTTTCAGACTGTTCGTCTTGTAAATTTTCAATTTTCTCCCCTATCTTAATAAATCCTTCAAATCTCAGTTGCTGCCAAGCACCTAGGAGCATCAAACTTCGAATGTTTTGAATAATTTGTCGTGAACCTACATATCTATACAGATGTGTATCGCTGGCTGGAACCCCCTACCCGTATGGTACCTTAAATCCCTGGAGCAATTCAATTGTAATTTACGCAAGGCGTAAGCAAAAATTTTGATCCAAAATCTATGCTTATTCCTTCCCTGGTGTTATTTGTATTATGTGAGGAGGATTCCTACCCATAGGGGTAGACATCCAGCTGCGCAGGGCACCAGTTGGACCTATTGCAGACCCCTGGTGTTAATGAGTAGACCAGTTCTACATCCAAAATTTCCAACATTCACGCTCAAAATTATTTATGTAGAAAAAATCAAAACATACACAAAAATCACATTTGTCTCAATGTTATGCATATTATGATTTTTCCTGAAAAAGTTGAAGCGTGAAAGTTGGAAATTTTTGTGTTTAAATGATCTACGCACATATGTAAATACCTCCAATTTGACGTGAGGGTCATTTACTTTTAAAACTTGGGATTTAGGGTACCAGTAGGTGGCGGTCTGGAATGAATACACAACCATGTTAAATTCGGTTAATTAAAAGTCTTGGACTTTTAAAATTTCCAGATTTTGAACAAAATATTGATCGAGTCCTACACCTCGCTGAAAACGGCACGACTAGTTTGCCACTTCTGGAATGATATCGTCCTCTCCCATCCAAATACAGGACTTGCGTTAAAATTGGACGCCAAATACGACGAAAATAGGGACCCTTTGTCCTTCTACGATTTATTTTCCACAGTAGATGGCCGGCTTGCGAAACAGGTCATCACCACGCACGGTTCCAAGGTTATGTACGACATTACATGCAAGCTTACACATTTTTGTGATAAATTTAGCGATAACGTGCAAAGTTTGGAGCTCTTAATCGATGACGCAAACTACTTCACATGCATCCATAAAATTTTAACTAATCGCTGTCCAAATTTGAAAAGGTTGCATATTTTTTGCAAAATTGATCCGAATCTCGAGAACATTGTGCTCCAACCGTTGCCCCCAAAACGAAATTTGGTATCGTTTGTACTCAATTCTGAAATGAAAACGCCGATGCAGACTCTTACGAGTTTTTCTCAGCTTGTTATCGATGCCTCGCCAAATTTAAGGGAGGTCACAATTCCATGGGGAATCTATCCCAATTTCGAAAATTCTAAATTTCTCGCCTACTTAACCATCACACTGGATAACTTCGACGCAGCTAAGATTGCGCGCTTTGACCCGGCAGCCCTGTCACGTGTCCTGAATCAGACTAGTGGTCAACTGGTCAGTCTGTGCTTTGGCGAACACGATTTACGGAAATCCATCTACGGTTCGAAAACCTGGACGAGGAAAGAATTCCAGTTGCCGAGAAAGATGCCGAAATTGAGAAAGTATCGAAACGTGCTGCTCGACGTTTTTCAGTGCGACGACGTCTTGGCAGATTTTGAAAAAATGCCCGCCCTGAAAACGCTCGTAATTGGGAAGACAGATTCAACAAATTCGGTATGTTTGCACGAATTTTTGCAAGCTGTTGTCGACGCGGGGAAGATTTTGGGGGGTGTGAAAACTTTGAAGATCTTTGAGATACATGACGTCATTTTTTTTGAGGGATTGAAGACTGCGTTTCCTAATTTGGAGAGCTTGGAGGTGGACACGTGTACTAAGAAGGATCACTTCTTAGAAAAAGAAAGTGGGATGAAGTTGGGCGTGGTTATGAACGCGTGTGGTGGGTGGAGCGGGCTGAAACACTTGGAATTAGGACTGCCAACGTATCCAGAGGAAGTTAAAGACGTCCTTCAGACTATGTTGGATGGCTTGAACTTGTGTAAAGGTTGGTAACATATTTTTGAGATTGTGAGGGAACGTCCATAAATGATGCAAGGGAAAAATTCAAATTATTCCAACCCTCCCTCCCCGCCTGTCGCACGTTATATCGCCTTTTAAAATGTGATGTGGCACAAATAGGCCTGTCCGCAAAACACCCCCCTCAGGGGTAACATAATTTATTGACGTCCCTTTATTCAACAGGCAACATGTATGCATGCATGTACCTCGGACCTTCCTCTGGCTAATACATACATCTAATTCGACATGCACTCTAAAAAACTTGGTTACAATTATAACCAGAAAGTAATAAGTAAAGATATATTTATGAATCTACCGCCACGGTTATTAATTTGTCACCAACTGTTCATAAATTTATCACCACTAGTATTATACATTTGTTACTAGTGGGGACAGATTTATAAGCAGTTGGTGACAAATTTATAACCATGGCGGTAGAGTTATATACATGTGACACATGTCAGGTGTTTACTTTGTGGTTATAATCGCAACTGCAATTTTTAGAGTGTACGTACATATGTATTTACATGTATGTAATTCTATTAATGAAGCATTATGCGTATCATATTTACGTATATGAATACCTAGTCACTATTTCATCGCTAAAATTAACCTTTATTGCTAATTTCCTTTATTTTCATGCTGATCTAAACTTCAGGGCTTAAAACGTTGAGAATGGTGAGATACCATAATATCAATTTTCCATCCGATTTGACCGATACCGAGATCGACCTGTTTAAGCAACTGCTCCTCGCGATGGATGGAATGGACGAGGTCGAAATTCAAAACCTTTATGTATGTATGTACTTTGTGGGGTGACCAGACTACTCATTAATAGAGATAGCCAGGCCAGCGGCGGTAGCACATTTAAGGCTAATTGCCGACTCCCCTAAGAACACTTGCGTTTAATATTGCGAATTCTGCCATTCGCGATCCTTTAAGAATCTTCCAGACTTAGCAATAAACCTTGCTAATCTGGCAAACGGCATTTCAAGTAATTCCTCGGAGGTCAGATAAAGCCCTTCGAGTACTACCAGTCTGGTCATCGCAAAACAATCACACTCTGTAATAAAGTGATACCCTGTTTCCTTCCCCTGTCCGCATAAGCAGCCAGGGGACGACACCAGGTTCAAATTATACAGATGTGAGTTCAAAGTATTATGCCCCGTTATTACCTGAACCAGTTGGCGCAGTGAATTACGGTTTAATTTTACAATGTTCCCCAAGTTTGCCTGGTATGGCTCCTTAAGAAAGAGTTTGGTCTGCTTACACAGATGGGTGTCCTGCCACCTAGATTTGTGTGCTTGTTCAGCCCACTCTCTACAGGCCTTTTTACGGTCCGATTTCCCAGGCCCGCAAACGGTTACTTTACTAGAGAGGTTATTGCAAAGGTCCATGTGTGACATAGGCCCTTTGAATCCCCTCCCATACCATCCGAACCATTGGTTGTTCACTTGCAAACGATACATTGTTGAAAGTGCGACTCTTTGAATCCGAATGTCCATCGGTTCAAGCCCGAATAGACACTCCAAACACAGATAATTCCAATTAATATAAATTCTAATAATTCTAATAAACCAATCGCAGATGGAGTACTCCTCATGGTTCCAGAGGTCGACAACATTGCCACCCTCTGTACCCTATCCAGGAGTTTCATATGGCATTTGACTTTCGAAGCACTACACCACACCACTGCCCCATACTCCATTGTCGGTCGGACTATGGTTTTATACATCCACATCACTGTAGAAGGTCTAAGTCCCCAAGTGGGTCCAATCGCCCTTTTACAGACAGCCAGGGCCATCATACCCTTCGTAGCCCTGTCCGTACAATGTGGTTTCCAAGATAGATTGTTGTCAATTGTGACCCCAAGATATTTTGCAGATTTAGTAAACGGAATAGGTTTACCAGCAATACTAAGTAAAGCTTCGCCCCCTACCCGCTTGCTCGTGAGTAGAATGGCAGCCACCTTGTCGCTCTCAACGCCGAGGTCTACTTGCTGACTCCACCTATTCACTATATTGATGCTCCGCTGAGCATCCTGTACCACTGTCCCCAGATCCAGTCCGCGACTCAAAGTACTTATATCATCGGCATAGCCGTTTGAATACACCTGTGGTAAAGAGTTCCTCAATTTCTTGAGTACCTCATCCACCACTAGGTTCCAGAGCAGGGGAGAAAGTACGCCACCTTGTGGGCAGCCCCTTTCCGCCACTCTGCTTAACCCGTGAGATGCTGTACGCACCACCCGGTTTCTAAGCATGTGCGAGATTAACCTTGCACACACCGGATCGACTTTATTCCTGTACATACCATCTTCAATGGACCGAACCGTTGCATCACTGAACGCCCCCCGAATGTCCATGAACACAACAATTGCGTGCTCACGTGTCCTCAGGGTTCCTTCAGCTCTTGCAACGATTTGGTGCATTGCGGATTCCGTTGACCTACCTTTCATATACGCGTACTGGTTGTTGTCCATCAGTCCCCCTATTAGTTCGGGAGTCCTGATGTGCCAGTCAATCAGACGTTCAAATGTTTTGAGAAAGAAGGAAGTTAACGAGATGGGTCTCCAACTGTTAGCCCTCTCGTAACTATCCTTCCCTGGCTTTGGTAGAAAGATGACCTTAGTCTCCCTCCACGCCCTCGGAGTGTAGCCATAGTGCAAGCAGGCCCTCATGACCGTAGCCAGAGGTCCACTCACACTTCCGCTGACCACTTGGAGCATTCGGGGAAACACTTCATCCACTCCCGTAGCCTTATAAGGACCAAATGACTTGATGGCCTTTTCCACCAGCTCCGGGTTGACATAATTGTCGATCCCCGCAGTGGTTTCTACTACTTGAGACATTCCCCGTTGATCCCCTTTCGGGTCCGGTGGGTAATGTTTCTCAAGCAGAAGTTGCAATGATTGTTTCACATCCACGGTATACCCACCATTCGCGTCCTGAATGCGCCCGAGTCGATTGACCTGGTCATTTTTCAGTACACGATGTAGCCGAGATGTTTCATGCGTGGATTCAATTTCTCCACAATAGGTTCTCCAAGAGTCCCTCTTTGCCGTCCGGAGTGCAGATGTGTATCTATTCCTGACGGCGCAGTAAGCCTCCCACGAGTCCCTATTTTTATCCCCCATGTACACCTTCCATTGTACACGCGATGCCTTCCGTAAAAGGTCCAATTCCCGAGACCACCACGGAATTACGCGTTTCCGTGGTTTAACTAGTTTCAGAGGGCAAGCTACGTCAAACCCCTCTTTCAGAACCCGAACGATCCTATCGACCTGCATGTCTATTTCCTCCGTGGAGGAAATCTCCATGCCGGCCATAGTGCTCAATTTCGGTTTCACTTGCTCCGCGTAGAGCTCCCAATTCGTTTTCTTTTTGTTCCGATAATACATTGGTTCCGGTGAACCCATACGTATATCGGCTTTGATAAACCGATGGTCGGATAATGATTCCTCATCATCCACCCTCCAGTTCCTCACCAAAGGAAGTACCCCCGAAGAGACAAAAGTTACGTCTAGTACCTCCTGTCTATTCGAAACCACAAACGTTGGTTTATGACCCCTGTTAATGCAACAGATGTCATTCTCCGTTATGAATTCACACAACTTCTCCCCCCTTACGTTAATATCTGAGCTACCCCATAGAGTGTGATGTGCGTTGCTGTCACAGCCAAGTACCAATAACAAGTTATTGTTCCTACAATGCTGTACCAGCTCCACCACTCCTCTAGGGGGACACTCCTCCTCGCCCGGCATATACACCGAAGCATACACAATCACTCCATGCCGCCACTCAGTGGTAATTGACACAAGGTCTCTCCCACAAAATTCATGCATAAGCGATGCTTTGACATTTTTACTTGTAAGAATGCATGATCTTGGGTTCTTCTCTGAGTCCCCACACGCAAACAAGTTTCCTACCTCATTAAGACCCCTCACTTTGCCCTTGTAGGCATAAGGTTCTTGAATGAGGCATATACCTGTCTGCCCCTTATCAAATACTACCCGGCTTAGGTTCGCCGATGCAGCTTTGGAATGGTGCAGGTTAATTTGCACTAATGAATGAATTTTACTTCGATTCATAATTAAATCAAAACAAATATACTACTAAACCCCTATGCTACCCTACTTACTCCTCCCCTATAGGGCCCTCCCCTCAAGAGGGGGAGGTTTAGAGTTAAGTGTAAGCAGGTCATTATAGTAGTATATTTCTGCGACTAGTCTGCCGCTATCCGCCTCGTGAGACTTTTGATGCAGGTATTTTACATCCCTTGCATCAAATTCATTTACATATTTATTTATCTTTGTGAGAGGAACTGTGGTGGTGGTGGTGGCCGCACCGGAAGTGGGAGTAGCGAGGGTGAAGGAGGGTGCAAAAACTGCCCCCACCCTAACCCCCATGTACCCTCCCATCTGGCCTTCGTGACAGGCCCTCCCACACAACCTCACACCCCCCACCACTGCTACCCTCACGTCTACCATTTCTTCCTCCGTTCTCCACCAGCGACCAGCTCCCCACCGTGATGGTTGTGCTGATCGGTGGTATTTTACGGTTTCATTACCCTTTCTCTGCAGGGATTTTTCATTCCCTGCAGCTAAATTCCATGTATGTACATATGTATGTACATATTTAATAGCAACAGTGGTGGTGGTGGTGACAGTACTAGAAGTGGGAGTGGTGGCAGCATAAAAAGTTGCGAAAAACGCCCCCTTCCACACCACCATACTCACTCCCATATTCCCTTCACGGCAGGTCCTCCGACACTATCTCCCACCCCCCACCACTGCTACTCTCACTCTCCCCATCCTCCCCACAGCCTCCCACTTACGTGGTGACTGTGGGGGGTGTGTCTTACCTTCAAAATGCCAGTTTCCTCCAAAATCCAGAAAATTTGGGAGCAGAGCACTTTTTTCACGTATGCACACATTCAAGTTTCCCGCAAGAGTCCAAACCTTTATGTAAGTTATATACCGTGGGTTCGATTTCTGTGTCTGTCCCGGGAACCGGAGTACAGCCCGTCCCGGAAAATGGCGGACCCTAAAAAAAAAAGGTCCGCCAATCTAACGAGATTATCATTAACACCCCTCCCCCCCCCCCCCCGCTCGATACGTCAGATGGGCAGCTATGGTGTAACCCTTAAATTCAGGGATGATTGCAGGGATCGCATCGTTCGAGCAAATATACGCTTACGAAAGAGCTCATAACGCTTGTGCTTAAAAGCGCCCGCGGAGATTATTCTAGCACCATTGGAGATTAATAAAGCGCTGGAGCATTATTAAGCCGCTGACGCCATGGAGCTTTATTTAACTTGGCGAAGCTAAATAAACCTCCATGTTGAAAATTAGATCGTGACCATCCTCATTTGATCTTGACGGCTATTTTTGATTACGGGGATAGGTATACAGCGTCCGAGCTTGGAAATTAGTAAGATATCGGCGGCGCTCCTGTGATGCAATTTTTTAGCAGTATCAATCTATTTTGAATGCTTGCTTTGTCAGAATTTCTTCAATATAATTTAACTTATGTAGGTTTCTTTCTTTCGCTAATGCATATTTATTTTTTTATAAACTATGCATCCATATTTGTATCGATTATACGAACAATTAAGTCGTTCTGCACATCGACAAATAATTTGTTTGGTTTATAGCTCAAGCTTTGTGATACATAAAACATTATCAACTAATTTAGGTAGCGAAAATATAAAGATCGAAATATACATACAAAAGAAATAATAACTGATATGTGGTAATAGACATATTACAAAAAATACATTTCCAGGCTGATGGAGGTCTGATAATTCTAGTACCAATTGAAAGCTAGTTGGCTGGTAGGTGAAAAATTCTTTTTCATTTGTGATTATTTTTGCATGAGTTTCAATGGCTCCCATGTTCTTATTTCTGAACAATTTAAAATTAGCCAAAATAGGGGAAATCCACTTCATTCCTACCCGTTGCTATAATTAGGGGACCCTGATATTAGAGTTTCTAAAAAAAATCAAATTTCTATGCGTCTTCGTGGGAAACTGTATCGTAAAAACTTGGTTTGTTTGATTTTTTCGTTAAAAAAAATTGCCAGATGAGGTGCTTCAAATCCCCCATCTTGAATACGTTTGATTTTTGCCAAATGTACATACAATTATAGTTATCAAATCAGCGTGGTGCGCAAGGGAAATTAAATTAAAGGATCAGCGGTTATTACGTTAGGTACTGAATTTTCAATGAAGTCTACATTTTTGTAATTTTCAGTTATAATTCTATTTTTTGCCTTGGACTACTCCAGAAATTTATCGAAATTAACAATTTGGTAACTTGTTCATAAAGTCAAAAGTTCCTACAAGAAACGTTCTACCAGATAAGGACACAGTTGGCTTAATCACTCCAAGTTTTAGTTGCCTGAAACTTATCTATTTGCTAGATCTTCTCACGATTCGCTTCGCACATTACAATAAATGCAAGTATAAATATTAGGCCTTTGCACTTTCTTATCATACAAATTTTTATTTTGGTTCATTAACAAGGATTGATGATTAGGCTAGAATATTTTCAGACTTGGGCAAAGAAAAAAAGAGGTGTGAAAATTGCGCTCTTCTCACAAGGAGAAGGTCTTAGGTAGTTATCTCGAATTTTGACCTGACTAATTTTAAATTACATATTCACGCTCAGAAAGAGGAAGGACAATTTTTGAATTTTCTTTAATGCACTTAAATATTTTTGTCAGTGGAGGAGTTCTTAAATAAATTTTTCAGCGAAATGAAAATTTTTCGAACGCTGTAAACTTTCTTATTTCAATTCGAGTTCAAAAACAACACGTTCGTTCAGAATGTTATTCATCAATTAAAAAACTCCAATTTTCAAAAACTTTCAATCTTAAAACATTTTTTATGTAAAAAAGTTTGGAACTAGCATGAAGTCTTAATAGTTTTTGGAGGCATATTTATTAACTCCGACCTTTATGGTAGTCTGAAAATTTCGCTGTGACAGAACAATGATTTAGTTTCGTTCAAAAATTGGCCGTTCATGAACCGATTGTCCTAAAATTATGATTATGTGCTTAAATTGTGCCCAGATAAATTATGCAGACATCGTTGGCAATCTTTTGTAGTAGGAGTAAGTTTTTAAGCCGTTTACATAGCATTAATCACGATTTTTCATGTTTGAATGCTTTATTTTCATTTTTCATCGATAGCCTTGATTACCATTTAAAATCAGATTGAAACTGATGTCTGCGTAATTTATCTGGGCACAATTCGAGCACAAAATTATAATTTTAGGATAGTCGGTTCATGAACTGCTAATTTTTCAACTAAACTAAATCATTGTTCTGTTACAGCGACATTTTCAGACTACCACTTACCTGATCAAGTTGGTGTTGCTTAAAAAAATATTTAATTGTTTTACTCCAACTTTGCTTCGAGAGAAAAATTTTCAAAATCACATGAAACGTAGAAATCGGGGGTTCAAACCCATCCCGTTTCTAGGGCTTGGGTTTCTAAGTTCTTTTTCTGGTACTTTAAAATATTTAAAACTTGTACCAAAATTAATAGGTTATGTATTTCGAGCCCTGCAAAATTTTTCCAAACACCAAGTCATGCAAACGTTTTTGAAATGAAATTTTCAAAGACATTGAGACGGAAATATATTTTTTTTTAACAAGCATAAAAAATTTTCTAGTTCAGCCTTCCCAGATATTTGCAGCTTGTGAGCGAAGACAAGAAACGATTACTAGTTTTTTGGCCACCGCGATTAACTCGTAATCTGATTAGGGTTTGAAACAAATTCAATAAGAATTCAATAAATATAATATCCAGTCTAAAAATGCACAAAATTTCACGTTGGCATGGGTCCATTACTAGCTCTTCCACTCGCCACTACCATGTCATTATGATAAAAATCCATGGTAAAATTTGGTAACTTTGATTTTATAATCTAAATTTTAGTGAAAGTGAAAATATACCAATCATACAACAATGCGGGGGCAAATAATAAAAAAATGCTTAATTTGATTCACTTTGTTTTGTCTCAACAAACTCTCAGGATTTTTCATGAAATTTAAATATTACTTTATAACATGAAATTGGTCATTTTGGGAAGTACAAAAAGGTGCAGTTGTTTAAATTGTACACAACGGGCAAGATTTGTACATACCGTAACAACTCAAATAGTAGCCGTCTGTATTTTTATAATTTTGTAAATAGTAGCCCCCGGCTATTATTTAAGTTTTTGGGGTATGTAAATATGTACATACATAATTTTTGCACAAGCAGGGCTGCGTGTTTTAAAATTATTTTAACTTGAAATTTTGAAATTCCAAAAGTAGTTCTACTTTGGGAATTTCAAAATTTCAAATTTCAAATATACAAATTACCTGGTTCTACACCCAAATTCGTCTATTAGAAATTACGGTCCAACATATTGGAAATGAGCACTAAACGGGCACTGTAGCTGATTTCAGATTCTCTAATTATGCCGAGAATAAAGTTCATTTGCTCCTTCAAAGGATAATCTGACATTTAAATTTGGAAATAAGAAAGTTGCAATAAAATTTTGCACCCAACTATAAAATTCAAACACGTGACTTAGAAAACTTTGGCCACGAATGTCTCCCAAAATTTTTATTTCAGAGTTTAATGGAAATTATCAGTAAAAATTTTCGTCGAAACTGTCCAATGGGTTACTCCACGAGAAATGGTAATGGACCTGATGTCTAAAATCGATTTTTTTGAAATCCTTCAAGTATGTGTTAGAGGACCTTAAAATATTCAGAAAAATCAGTTTCCCCGTATTTTTGAAGTTTCAATGGGGCTAATAGGAGGGGGTGTGGCTTCCGTTGAGATACCACCTTTACGCAGCCGTTATTTCACGCAGGGACTCAAAATTTCACATGTGGGTACCATGGGCCAATACAATTGCGGGTCTTTTTCTCTTTTTTTGAAATTAGGTCATAGTGACCGTTTTTAGGTCAAAATGTGCATAATATCTAATTTTTTGTAAATCGTCTCACATAGCCCCGTAAATGGGGCATCATCAGAAAGGTCTTGGCAAGAGGATTCAGAATATATATACTTTGTATGGTGTATGACCATCCCCTGGCAGAAAAATGAGGATTTTCAATTTCCCAGATTTTAACACAGCGGCAGATAGGAGAGGTAACATAGAAATAGATGGCAAAAACGCAAAAATATTGTTCTGCCTCTGGAACTCCAGGGAGTGGTCCCAGACCCCATAAAGTAGATATATTCTTAATCCTCTTGCCGAGACCTTTCCAATGATACCCCATTTGTGGGGTTATGTGCGACCTGAAGTTTTCATACTCATTTGACATGCGGTAAATTTTGACCTGAAAACGGTCATCGTGACCTAATTTCAAAAAAAGAGAAAAAGACCCGCAATTGTATTGGCCCATGGTACCCACATGTGAAATTTGGAGTCCCTGCGCGCAATAGCGGCTGCGAAAAGGTGGTATCTCAACGGAAGCCACACCCCCTCCTATCAGCTCTATTGAAACTTTAAAAATTCGGGGAAAATGATTTTTCGGCACATTTTAAGGTCCTCTAACACATACTTGAATGATTTCGAAAAAATCGATTTTCGACATGAGGTCCATTACCATGACTCGTGAAGTAACACCAATGATATACCAGAAAACCCGGTAATAAGTAGCAGTAATTTCAAATTGTGAACGACAAATTGGAAAATTCTGAAATCTCGGGATCCCATTTCCCGGGAATTACATTAATCCCGAAAAATCCCAGTAGCACAACCCCAACCAAGATCGTCGGCAATGTTCATTTTGGCTTAAAAAAATCAAAAATCCTAGAATTAAAATTCATGTAAAACCGTATTTTGTCCAATACCAAACTTTAGTGTTGGAATTTTTCAAAACTTCTACAAAAAAGTCACAATAATGATTCTAAATCACAGTCCTTTCTTACCTCTTGCCCAGGTGTATGATTTAGAAATTAGTGAATTAGACAACGACGGTGACAAGTTAAAGCACTTGTAGTCTGGACTCTCTGCCGAAAAATTGTCGTAGTGGTACACGTTCGCGATAAGTGCCATCTTTCTTTAAGGCGTTAATAGACTCAAGGCCACGGTTTTTAATATAAAGTTTTGCCTCGGCCAAGGTATAAAAAGTTTTTGTCCTCTTCCAGTTATGGATATGTTTTTGCGTTTTGAGAGGTGGTGTATTTTCTTCTTCAGAATCATCAGAATTCAATTCGAAATTATTAACTACAAAACTATAGATCGTTTTATTCGATAGTTCGCAGTATCAAAAGGTAACGTAACAATAAAGTATGGAAAGTTGAATTTCATTCAAGACATTAAATAAAGGTAAAATACTTACATGCATGTCACACCAAATCATTATTAACTATAACCTTAAAGAAATTTTTGAACAGTTTCAATCTAATTCACACTTTGGATACAGAGGATCACAGATCCTTATTGAACAGGACGAGAACTGACCTTAAGGAGACGTATGCGAGACGTGGTGGTGTGAGGTTGCTCTATCTTCAGCTCTCCTCGACTGTATAAGTGGGAATATTTAATTAATTAAGAAATTACTCACTGTTTGAAAATTTTGCAATTGTTATCTTGTCGATAATATACTACGAAACTGTTTGTACATTTCCAACTGTGTTATCAATTTTGAACTTGAGATTTTCATAAAAGCTGGTGAGAAATGTATCCCATTAATCCCTGTTAATACGTTGAATATTCATGTATCTTTATAACTGAATTCGAAAATTGTTATCAAATTGTTGTATTGTAAAAAACTCTTGTCAACTACATACGTCGCATCACTTCTATCTTCCCTGGCTGCCGTCCTACAAACCGTGATATATTTTTGGGTGTGGCGGGGACAGGGACGCCTTGCCTTCCACACCTCGACCTTGAGGGGACGCCCAATGGGTCACCCGCTGGGAACCATCGGGTCTCTGAGGACGCCTGGTCACACCCATGGAACCTGGCATGCATCATTTCTGTCGGAAGCTGGGGGTGGATCATTCTCTGTTGGGATTCTGACCTCACCATGTCTGGAATGTGCAACCTAACACCGTCTGAATAACGCCTACCCCTACGTAGATACATACGTACTTAACCTACATGAATATGTATTCTTGCAAAATGTGATTTGTACCGACATTATGAGCAACTTCGCACCACCACGTCACTTCGTTGAGAATAAGAATTGGACTTTAGCTATAATTAAAGCACACGTCTCCAGTTACGCTGTTGTATATATTACGTTGTAATGTTATAACATTTAAGATCTCGTAACTGTACGTAAGATTGTGATATGAAACTTGACGTAACGATTTGTAACTTGTTTATCATGTAATTGAATTGATCAACCACTGAATGTAACTTTATAGGCGTTTGCCTGAAAAAGTTCAAGAAATAAGCTGAATCCATCCATCCAACTGACCTTAAGACTGCCGTCGGCGTGGATGAATTTATTTTGTGTGTTCTCAATTTTTGTTGACCAAACGGTTTTAGAATACTAAGTAACTAAATACATTTTTGAAATTTCAGAAAGTTCGGAAATATAAAATATGTACCCTACCCTCGCAGTGCATGCGAGTTTGGCCAGTCTTTCTAACTGCATAATAAGGGTCTGCCATTCTGCATTTATGTACCCAACGTTCCCTTTACATAATCTTCCCGGAAAATCATGTAAAGGGGGTCATGCATAAGGCAGGTGACAATGTTTTTTACCCTGCAATGTGCCTAGTAATTATGCTCAATATCATTGGAAAGTCAACATGGTCTTTGAAATCAAACCCCATAAATATGTACCCGTATTTCGTAATCAAATCCATCATGCATGGTCCCAAATAAAAAGGTTCACAATGTCGAGCCCTCAAATGTAGATAAACAATCAAGTCAACACTGAACATGTGTTCTCGTTTGAAGGGAATAAAAAAAGTAGGAATATATGTATTTCCACTTATTTCAAATAAATTAAAATTAATTAGTTTCACTAATCTGAATATTATTAAACTTTAATTCTTGGTAAGACCATTCAGATATAAATAATGACGCAATTCACGCAATGATTGGTAACTTTGTAAAATATGTACGTTTTGTACAATAATTTTGCCAACTTTTGTAAAATAAAATACACCCTTGATCTAAGCAAGCTTATAAAAATTTTCAAGTTCTGCTTAGAAATATTTGTACATTTTTTTATTAGTGTGCAAGCTTACAGAATTTACTGATTTTAGAACATCACTCCGTGGATTGTCTCAATACAGAGTATTTGCTATTGAAAGTATGTATATTATAAATGGAAATACAAAATCATACATATTTATCTATCTAACAATGCGATGACGCCAGCGGTCTCGCTCCGATTTTGACGACACCACGATAATTATGTAACCTTATATAAATAATTAAACACGTGTTTCAAGATTTTTCATAATGCTCCTTTTAAACGAAATTATGACGGAATCCGTAAGCGAGAATTTCCATTTTTACCATGACATTATTCTCGCGATGGAGAGAAATACAGATCGTCGCTTACGGATTGCGTCATAAATTCGTTTAAAGGGAGCATTATGAAAAATCCTGAAACACGTGTTTAACTATTTATCTAAGGTTACATAATTGTCATGGTTCCGTCAAAATCGGAGCGTGACCGCTGGCGTCATCGCATTATATGTATTGATTAATACTTAATAAACATTGTTAAATAATAAAATTCGGTTGCTCGTATCGCCCGACAATTTCTCCCCGAATCTCCACCAGAGGAAAGAAGCGTAGAGGAAACCGCACTAAATAATCCGATCGTAAGCCAAATATTTTCAGTCTTGCAAATTTTCAATCCCGTATCTTAAAATATCCTTCAAATCTCAGTTGTTGCAAAGTACTTAAGAACATCAAAATTCGAATGTTTCGCACAATTTGTCATGATCCTATATACATGCATACATATCCAAAGAATATAAATCTCCAATATCCATATTCAAAATATGTACAAAAATCACATTTTTCTGATTTTTGTGCATATTATAATTTTTCCTGAAAAAGGTGTAAATTTGTGTGTACAAATGATCTTCAATGACCTTCAATTTGATGTGGGGGTCATTTGAGTTTCAAAATCTGGGATTTAGGGTACCACAAAGTAGATGACTACTACACATCTGAAATAAATACACAATAATGTTAAATTTTTAATTATTAAAATATTTAAAATTTCCAGATTTTGAGCAAAATATTTACCCAGACCTCCGCCCCCTTGAAAACTGCACGACTTGTTTGCCAATTCTGGAATGAAATCGTCCTCTCCCTTCCAAATACAGGACTCTCTTTAAGATTGGACGCCAAATATGACAAAAATGGGGACCCTCTGTCCTTTTACGAATTATGTTCCTCAGCCGATGCCCGGCTTGCGAAACATATAAGCGCCAGGCATGGCTCCCAGGGTATGTACGACATCACCTGCAAGCTTACCCATTTTTGTGATAAGTTTAGCGATAACGTGGAAATTTTGGAGCTTTCCCTCGATAACGAACACTACTTCAAATGTATTCATCAAATCTTAACCAAAGGCTGCACGAATTTGAAAGAGTTGCAAATTTATTGCCAAATTAATCCCAATCTCTACAACCTTTTGCTCAAGTCGCTACCACCAAAACCAAAGTTGACATCGTTTGTACTCAATTCTGCATCGGAGACGCCGATACATGTTCTTCAAAACTTTGCTCAGATCGTTATCAGCGCCTCGCCAAATTTAAAGGAGGTCACGTTTACATGGGGAATCTATCCCGATTTTAAAAATTCTAAATTTCTCTCGTACTTAACGATCTCCCTGGATAACCTCGACGCAGCTGAGATCGGTCGCTTTGACCCGGCAGACCTGTCACGTGTGCTGTATCAGGTTGGTGGTGAACTGGTCAGTCTATGTTTTGGCGAATACGATCGACGGAAATCCATCTCCGGTTCGAAAACCTGGATAAGGAAAGAATTCCGGTTGCCAAGAAAAATGCCAAAATTGAAAAAGTATCGAAACCTGCTGATCGACGTTTTTCAGTGTGACGACGTCTTTCAAGATTTTGAGAAAATGCCCGCCCTGAAAACGCTGGTGATTGGACAGACAGAATCAACAAATTCTGCACGTTTGCACGAAATTTTGCAAGCTATTGTCACCGCGGGGAAGATTTTGGGGAATGTGAAGACTTTGAAGATCTTTGAGATACATGACGCCATTCTTTTTGCCGGATTGAAGACAGCGTTTCCCAACTTGGAGAGGTTTGAGGTGGACACGTATAATATCGAGGATGACCGCGGGGAGGAGAGTGGGATGAAGTTGGGCGTGGTGCTTAACACGTGTGGGGGTTGGAGACGGTTGAAACACTTGAAATTAGGACTGCCAATGTATCCGAAGGAAGCTAAAGACTTCCTTCAGCCTGTGTTGGATTGCTTGAAATTGTGTAAAGGTGGGTGACAGATTTATGAAATTGTAGGTAGGCAATATGTATGCATGCATGTACCTCGAACCCTCTTCTGGCTAATATGTCTAATGCAATATTCACTCTAAAAAATGTGGTTACACTTATAACCAGAAAGTAAAGATATATGACTCTACCGCCATGGTTATAAATTTGTCACCGACTGGTCATAAATTTTGGGGATAGATTTATAACCAGTTGGTGAGAAATTTATAACCATGGCGGTAGAGTCATATACATGTGTTTATAACTTTGCGGTTATAATCGTAACTATACTTTTTAGAGTGTACATACATACATACATACATATGTAAATCTATTAATGAAGCATTACATATGTGTATCATATCTAAACGTATGAATACCTAGTTACTATTTCATCGATTGACGGTCGTTTGGCGAAAAAAACTTTTTCGCCAATGTGGTAAAAAATAGCATGAAATGAGTCATGGAGATCTTCATGAGTGACCATTTTCATATGCCTAATCCTCATTTTTGCCAAATGCAACATAATTTTCGCCAAAAGGTACTTTAAAAACATTAAGTGTAATGTACTGAAAAATGCATCAAATTTGTTTTTCGCCAAATGGGGTTTTTTATGGCGAAATTTTTTCTCCAAAAGTGTTTTCGCCAAACTGACCGACTTCTATTTTATCGCTGATTAAATGCTATTGTTAATTTTATGCTGATCTAAACTAGAGCTGAAAACGTTGAGAATGTTGACATACTACTGGTTTATTTGTCCATCCGATTTGACCGAGTTCGAGATGGACCTGTTTAAACAACTGCTCCTCGCGTTGGATGGAATGGACGAGGTTGAAATTCAAAACTTTTATGTAAGTTATTCATTATGCACTACACTCCATTTACATAAGTATGTACATAATGTTGAGGAATTCGATATTACAATGAGGGTATTCATTATTTCTTCATGTCGTGACCTTATCAACGCGATTTTCGATGGCAAAATCTTACCACGCTGAGAAAATCTCGTAAGCTTCGTAACTTATTTTACGATACGAAGAATACTAAGGACACGAAGGAATCATGAATACCCTCGATATATTATTACCAATATTCATTTTGCTTCCAGTGTACCCACAAATCCGCCAGAGACATGTGGAAACTCATCGACTCAAAGAAAATGTGGAGGTTTAAGATATTTCAGCAAATTCCGAATAAGAACCGCTTCGAATTTTGACTTTGTACTAAATTATTTTACCGGGGAACGATAAAGTTAGAGCTTCTTACTGCAAAAATTTGTAACTTTGAAAATTAGAAATTCAACCACAAGTTTAATTAATTTAAAGACCTCCTGATGAAGGAATAAGCATTCTGGAAGTTAGTGTCACATTTACAAGAAATGCGATGTCCTTAAAATCCTTGCATTTTTCTTCATATGAATTAATTTAATGTTTTTTTATTCCATACCATTCAAGTACTTTTTGAAATGCTTATGCTTTTAAACAGTTTGTAGGTTAACTATTGAATAAATCTCATTTTAATTTACGTTACTTCATGTTGTACAAATGAATTTATTACATAGTTGACTCGTTCGGTTTTCAAACTACATACATTTCACGGCCCTCTGCACACAAGTATATTCTAGACTAATAAGTAATTTTAGCGAAATTGCATAGGATTCGGGAGATACAGTGGAATTATTTACGGATATCACCACATTTTCACATTTTGACACGTTAGCAAGGGTGATGTTGTACAAATTGTTAACAATTTTTCTCACCTACAGTCTTAGCGAAATGGTATTGAATCATCACCGAACGGAGGGCATATGTAAATAGGTATATGACTTAACCGGCACGGTGAAAACGGGCATCACGGCATAGTGAAAAATATAAACCGTTTCGGTGATGAAAACTCACCACTTAGAATAAAACTATTACCAACCCTTAAATTAAACCGAAATTACGAGCGAAATCGTGTAATACGCTATCTCCGAAATCATTTTCAATGTCGTCTCTTTCCTCACAAAGAAGAACGGCCCAACTTCTATCGTCACTTTTCTACAACTCTGAACCTGCCTAGTTCTACATTTTGATTCTCCCGCCGCCCTAAGTTTCCACGCCCTAATAATGTCACTAGATTGGTAAAATACATCTCCAAATTGGCGCACTACATAGAGCAGAATCAAGATCAAAATGGTCAGGACGATCCCTGCCAACAATGTCAACTCGATTGGGACAACGCCCGTCAACTTGAGCAACATGTGCCCGCACACTATGCAGCATAGCAATATGGTCAGAAAAGCGACAGGTATCGGGTAGTACATAATGTCGTTCGTAACCTTGGCAAGAATGGTCAATTGTCGATATTTCGCAAAATCTGTGTCAAAATTGAACAAATTTTTCGTAGAACTTGAAACTAACGTGGTTTGACACGTGAGAAAGGCTTCGACGATGGTGAGACAGAATATTGTGCTTAAAAATAGTACTGTGACACACTGTAAGCATGTGAAGAACATGGTGGCGACGCGTACGGATAACTGTAAATAAGGGGGGAGGAATGTAACGTGACGATAAATGTGATATGTGGGATCGTCTCGTTCAAGGTGGAATGTTAGCGCGGCCACGGTGATTGGACAGGTCACGGCGGAAGGGATCAGTCCGTGAAAGATTAGACCCACAAAGTCAAACTTGAAGTTTTCTGAACCTGAAAAATTATTGAAAATGTGACAAAATCCTACATAATTCTAGATTTACGTGGGTATATTCAGCAATTCAACAAAGAAGGCGAATTTGGGATGCAACTTGTTATTCTGCGGTTATGATGTTATGTCGTAAATTGTTCGTTTGAAATTTGTAGTTGATACAATGTAACCTGTTATATTGTTAAACATGCTGAGAATTAACTTGTAATTCTATGGGCCATGAGCCTTGTAAGAATTATTCATTGAATAAATTATTATTATATTATTATATTATAATTTTGAATGAATACATATCGTTTGAACATGCCTGTACATATGCTTTCACTTACTTGGTCTAATTACGGCATCCGCTGCGTACTTCATCCTCCAAAGATTTGGTAGTCCGAAGCAAAATTCGTGCATTTTGAAGAGATATGTCCAAATATTTGCTACACAAAGTACGAACATGCCCTCATACAGGACAAACATTAACCACGTGATGACCGTAATTTCCGGATCTTTGGTGTACGCCAAAATTTCCGAGATAGCTTTCACCGCGACGACACAAGCCATGAGAAGAACGAGGACGGATTGAACGTACCACGGAATCAATTTAATTTTCGGAGTTGGCGTTGGGTGCTGATTTTTATTATCCCAGGTTAAATATTGGTGGTAGACAAAGGTTCCAATAAATTTTAAGTAATGCGGCAAGGCTTCGAACGTGGTGAAAGTTTGAATCCTGGACTTAAGAAATGTACGCATTCTGGATATTTACCGAGAACTGTATTTTTTCTAGTCTTTATGAACAAAGAATAAAATTGGAGCATACATATATATAAAGTCAACGCAGTTTAAATACATTGATCAAATTTAAATTGTAGGTAGAGAAGAAATTATGGTTAAGCAAGTTTGGTGAATTAATAACCAATGAGATTTTCAAAATATTACGTAAGATATTTTACAACTCGAAAAATATTTGTACTACGCTTACAAAACTAGAATATTGGTGGTTTGAAAAATTGGTTCAGAATTTGGCAATTGTTTCCGGATAACGTATCCAGTGCATATCTATTTAGTTGTGTATGAATGTACGCGACCCATATTTTAGTGGTTAAGTTATGTAATCCCGTAATAGGGGCACATACATAGGTACATATGTACAATGTAAATACATAAATAGTTATATAATTATTTGCTTTACATACACAAATATCTGCATATGTACATGAATATTTGTATACATATACATACATATACACCACAACGGCTATGCTACACACCCATTGGGTGTGTTTTATTTGCACGAATTTTACCATTCCAAGCCGCACCCTCCAATGGAATGGAATACAAATTATTGCGTTTGATTTGTCATGTAATCGAATTGTTTTTGCCAATATAAATAGGATACGAATACATTATGCAAATTAGCATATGTACATACATACATAGATAGATATGTACATACATATGACAGGGAAATTATCATGGGATGCTTGTACATAAATAAATTAATACATATGTGCAAGACAATTTGCATTAATTAATTATATTATCGAGTATTCAATTTATTAATTCGTTTCAAATCCAACAATCACACCTTTATCACACAATTTTCACCTCGGTCTGCTCATTTTTGGCGGCATCTTCATACGTCGGGGGTGCAATTTCGGTCGTTTCCTTCCCCACGGTTTCCCAATATTCTGGGGGAGGTTTGTTATCCACCTCGCGATTAGCACTGGGCCCATCACCGAGCCAAATTTGTCCACCCGATAGTGCAAATATTGTCGTGGGTCCGGTGACAATCGGGTTTTGTGGAGAAATTCCATCCCGTCGACCAAGCGTGCGCAAATATGTGGAAATTGCGCGGTCGCGCTCTGTACAGTGTCGTGGAAGAAAAGGTCTGTTGGTGGGTGGACGTCGGCAACGTTTCCTGAAAAAAATGAAAATTTTTATCATTTCCATTTACACATTCGTATAAAATTAAATATGTAAAAAAATTGTTGTTCTATTAAATACAGAAATAAATTTACACTTGAAGAATCAAAATTTCGAAAAAAAATGTGCCGACAATTTACAAAAAGCTGCAGAATTATTACTTTTAAGTCTTTCTATCTATGTACATCAGCAGCGAAATCGTGAGCGTTTTCACTACAAAATATTATTTCTCATCTCAATTCGCAGCTAATTTAGCAAACTTGCGATGCTCTGTATAAAGTTTGTGTTGTAAGGAGATTTGCAAAATACAACTTCGCAAACTAAACTCGCAAATCTAATGATACTCCTAAATACTTTTTTATGTTGCTTCCATGGATTTCTAGAATCCAGTGGAGGCGATGAAGACTTTGTTAATTAATTTTACGAATTAAAAACATATAATTGTTGGGTAAAAAAATTCATTCGTTTCCTATATAGCAAACTTTTTCGAAATCTCGGCACGTTATGTTTTTATTCTCAATTTGTAGAGTATGTTTGCGATAGTTGACGTGGGTACGCTCAGCGTACCATAATACATTGTCATACAAACATGTATATTTTATCTAAACTTTCGAAAAATCATTCAGAAACTTAATCTCACCAGAGGAGGATGATAATGACGATAATTGGTAGGATAGCATAGGCCGGAAGTGGCGACCTCGACTCGATCGGGTTTCGCTGATACGTGTACCCAATTCCATCCTGGTAGTAAATCTGTCTGTGCTCCAGATCTGGCTCTAGGTAATTGTTGAATTTCGACGAGTTGAAATTAGTCCGGAAATAGTAGCTCGTCCCCGAATCCGTCGTACTCGTGTTGATATGTTTCCACAAGGAGGGAAATTTTATGAAAATGTTGTCCATAAAGTTGTACCCATTTTGGGCAGGTGCTTCCTGCGTAGTTGACTCAATTTCTTGAGTAGGAATTGTCAGAGAATCTGAAATTTTTAGGAAAAGTCAAAATTCCGAAATGTATATTTAGAAGCTTTTTTCGACTATAAGTGATACACTCTTAGAAATCCGGTATTAAAATCATACCAATCGATATTCATAGGACTCTGCCAAAGTGATATTGATAAGCAATACCGTGTAAATATGTATAGGTATGTAGTACTTAATAGCTCGGTATTAAATTTTTATCATTTCGGCAGCAAATTTTTACAGATCCGTTTAATTTTAATACCAAGCGGTAGAAATATCAAAACAAAATCAACACCGCTGTGACTACACTAGATTTTCAATTACATATGCATTCGATATGAAAATGATCAATTTAACCCCGAAAATTGAATCATTTCCAAAAATCTCAAGTCTTTAATACAACAATAATATTAAATACGTACTTAACTCTGAAAACTTTGAATTTTAACATTTATGATATTAATTAGTTCTATCAAGTATCGTAAAAATAGTTAGCGAAGATAAAATAGGGAGCAAAGCTTCGTAAAAATCGTAAAAACCTTAGTAACGCAATTTTTCCTAAGCTTTCCCATTTGTTTGTTCTTCGTAAACTATTTTACGATACTAAAGTCAATTGTGAATACCAAATTTTCATAATTTTACAAATTTCCACACCACTTACCTGAAAACTTTGTCTCGCTTATCGAATTGGAATCACAAGTTACCACAGAAATCCATGCGATTGAGCAGAGTTGGAATATTTTTGAGATTGGTGACATACTTAATTTACGTTATCTCCTCCACAAAATGGTTCATTCCAACTACAAGTATTTAATTATCCAATTTAGTTAAAATGTCGCTCAAGAAATTATGTCTAGTTAACCGGTCACAATCACAATTATGCACCAAATAAATATTTTCGTGAACTTTCTCCTTGTTCAAAATATATTTGCAACGGCACAAATAAAATTCTACCAGACGTTCGTTTGTGATGCAATCTTACTACAGTAAGTACACTTGAAACGAAAATGACTCACCTGCCACTATCTACATGCATCCACATCCACCTGTAATGAAAAATTTTGCACGGGGGTGATATCTCATTGTTAATGGGTTACCTTGTACATGCAAACATAGTTAAACCTTTCTGGGTCCGTACATACGTAGTAAAACTATGTACAGGTAGTAAATAGAAAAAGTTTAGGGTTGAGATGACGTGCAACTGCGATGTCATTAATTGGTCAGTATATAAATCTACTTATTTAGTCCTTCGTAACGAATATTTAGTTTTTGATTACCACACGAAATCTGGAAATCTTGCAGTGGGTCTTGGACGAATTTTTGATGACGTTGTGTTAGAACGGCCCTTCACTGCTTGTCTAGCACAGCGAGACGGTGGATGAGAAACAAAGATGAGCGTGATTGGTATAAAGGAAAAATATATACTTTTTTAACAAGCAAGGTTTGCAACGTTGTGTTTTATGTGCATGCTTACTTGGTGTAATTACGTATGGTGTGGTATTAATTATTTAATTTGTTCACCAATGTGATTAAAAACCTGAAGAAATTTTAGTTAAATGTCTTTAATAATTTCATTTTTATGCATGTACATACATACGTAGGTATGTTGTTGTGCTCAAAATTTGTGTCATAGTCATACATATGTACTTACAGGAAAATTAGTGCAACTTACAGGGGAACATACCGAGGTGTCCAACGAGTTGAGGGTCGACACCTATACCAAAATGACCACAATGCATGACTTATTAAACAAACTGAAGGAATTCACTTTTCGTCAAGTTGTGACGATATTTGTGACGAGCGCATGACCATCGGGTTGCCAGCGGGAGAGGTCGGCCGCTGAACGATCAGGTGCAATACAGAGAAGCGTCGTCGTCTTCAGAGATTTCAAATTCTTTCAAATTTTGAAAACATCTTGAAATTTTGAAAAAATTTTGAGAAAATTTTGAAACTTTGAAGAAATTTGTGAAATTTTTAAGAAATTTCAATTTTTTTTCAAAATTTGATAGAATTTGAAATCTCTGACGTGAAGACGACGACACTTCTCTGTGTTCGACCAGGGTTCGCTACCCCGGGTTTTTGTGGGTTGGGGTTTTTGGGGTTTTTGTGGGTTTTTGGGGTATCAAATCTCCGGAAAAACCCTAATGCTTAATGGGGTTTTTGCGGGTTTTTGTGGGTTTTTCCGGGGTTTTTGTAGGATTTTGAGGCAGATTGAAACAAAATCCCTTAAACTACAACGTAGATCAATGCTAATTAACTTTTCTGCTTCATCTTGAAATTTTGAGAATTTTCAATTGCGACTTAAATTTCCAAATATCATTGCATATTTCCAGGTTTACATGTCAAACATGAATTTTCGATGTAAAAGCCCAAATCAATGATAACGGTTAACATTGCATGTTAAAATTGTATACTAAATTAGTTTATCTCTAATATATAATTTTAGGAATTCTGGTTCAACCTGCCCCAAAATCTACAAAAACCCACAAAAACCCACAAAAACCCAAAAACCCACAAAAACCCCAAAAACCCCGGAAAAACCCCCGGGGTTGGGTTTTTCTACAAAAACCCCGGGGTTTTCCGAACCCTGTGTTCGACCTGATCGTTCAGCGGCCGACCTCTCCCGCTGGCAACCCGATGGTCATGCGCTCGTCACAAATATCGTCAAAATTTGACGAAAAGTGAATTTTACACGGAAATTCCTTCAGTTTGTTTAATAAGTCATGTATTGTGGTCATTTTGGCATAGGTGTCGACCCTTAACTCGTTGGACACCTCGGTATGTTCCCTTGTTAGAGTTATTCATAATATATTTGTGTTATGTGCATGAAATTTTTACACATTCGAGGAAATTATACAAACTTGGAGTACGGAACCCTGGTCATGAGTCAGTTATTACTCGAGTATGAACATATTTACATACATGTATATATCTCTGTACATATTTATGTCTATCCATACGTACATATATGTCACTTTTATGAAGTCCTGTCATGTGACGTTAATGAACAAGCCATGAAATCTGTGACGCACGAAGGTTTTTTTTCCTTGATGGTTCTTAATGTGACTCTGGTTTAAGAAGATGGGCCACTGCCGGTGTAAAAAAAGCTGTTTTAAGCTTAATGGAAGTCATTATTCCAAGTAAAACCATAAAGTATGCATGAAATTACTAAGTAATCGACGATGCAAATGTTTCACGTGATTAAATTTTTATATAATCGGGGTTTTGATGTAAAAAGTTATAATTTCCTCGAAATTTTTGACACTTTTCATTTTTTATGTAAATATTTATTTTTGCGTATAAACATGTAAAATTGTCCATTACTGGTTTATGAAGTTTAGAAACTTAATTATAATTTTGTGTGTAAAGAGCAAAAATTGTATGCACATTTATACAACTGCATGGTTTTTACAGAATTAACCGACTATCGGAGAGATTTTACCGACATAACATTTTAAGCCGAAATTCTGCAAAGTTTAACGCAACACTAGTTTGGGAATGAACGCCCATTGTATTTAGAAAAGCTCAAGAACTTTGGGCAATCGTATATTAGTTCATAACAAACTATGGAACATACTGACAAAAATTATGGGTATACGTATTTATGTATGTAAATATTGTCAAACTCTAAACAAATGTGGGAAAAAAGTTACGCACAGTTACATAATTACATGTGGTACATGATCCACTCAAAGGATGTTAAAGTGCTTAAAAAAGTTCTTCGCTAATTTGAACTTAAATACAGCATTTTGCAACATTCCATTTTCCACTTACTTATTCTTCCACCTTGACTACGCAAAAGTTATCGTCTTCCTCTTCTTCCGAGGATTCATCACTGTCCGAGTTCATATTAAAAATAATCTTAAGCATTTTACTTTGTAAGTCGATTTCTTCCTTCTGATTTTTTCTATCTCGTTTCTTTAAAAAACTTGTCCTCCACACGACAAACTTATTGAACGCGTCCTCCCAATCTGCCAAATTGGGGCTGATTTCTGCAGTTTCACTAGTCGGCGGTCCCTTATCATCAGGATAAGCTCGCATCACGCAGGCCAAATATGCAGCCCGGCTTATCTTGCTTATCCCTTCGACGACGTCTTCCTTCTCCTCGTTTAAACATGCCGCCGCCTTTGCCGCTATCTGATCCAGTATTTCATCCCCCGGAACAACCCTCCAGGAAGAGGTCTCCTCTTTCAAAACGTTTTTCATTCTTTGCTCCACCGTGAGTCGAGAGACGAGCAGGAATCTGGTCAAGTAGTCCTTACCTTCCTCTCGTACGGTGGATAACAACTTATCCGTTAGGTGAGGTAACGTCACGACGTAAATGCCTGAACCGGCAATTTCATACGCGAGCTGATCTAAACGGGGGATAAAATACCAAAAATTCTCTGGAAATTAAAATTATGAATTGTATAATTTGAAAAATTTCTGATAAGGCAAGTGATTAAAAAAATGAAAATGTAGAACAAAATGGAGTTTTCAGGGGACAGATTTTTTCAAAACAGTATTTTATAAAAGATTTTTCCCCCCACTCACCAATTCCTTCGCACATTTCATAAACATCCTCCACATAACTGATTGACAATTCAGTCTCCGGGTCCCACCACCAACCGTCCAACTCGTATCGCATGGCAGAATCCGCGATATTAACCCATCGCAAATATTTTCTCATAAAGCCGTCCCCCCGAGATTCGTAGTATTTAATCATCTTGCATAACTGGGACGACATTTCGGTCCGAAGGGCCGCCACGAGGAGCTCCTTTGTCTCCCCATCCTCACCATAGAGGACGAGGCGCACGGGGATTTTTACCCCCGAAATTCCGCAAGCGTCGAAAATATCCTGATTAATAAACGGCGTGATTACGCGTCTTGTAAAAATGTGAGGTATGAGTCTATCCTGTCGTCCCTCTTTTCGCACAATGTCGCAAAATTTACGTTGGTAACTGTATCTCGCCACGATTTTTGTTTCGCGGAAGGAAATATTTTTGGAATAATGTAGTCCCGAAGGTTTTCTAGAGCATGGCTGATAAAACTGTAGGTGGTGAGAAAGATGTGAATTGGAATGCGTAAGATTTCAATTAAAAAGAGGTCGCACATTTTAAAACTGGTGAGTTTTGAAATGTGAAATTGATTTTTGGTTGTAGAATCTGAATTTTTTCACAAAATTGTGGGCCTGTGAAGATGTTTTGAGAATTTATCCTGAGAGACAAGAGACTGATATTGAGCGAGAAAACTTTGTGTGGAGAGGGGATGAATTATACGTCTGGATTTCGAATAAGGGTTCCGTAACATAAGAAATTATGCAGTTTTATGATGGTTTTTATGAATTAAAGGCGAAAATACCAACATAATTTTCTTCCCTTGATGGCTCGAGTACATACATATCTATGTATGTACGTTATGAACAGATTATGTTAAATTTGCTCAAGTTCTTTTTAGAAATATTGAAACTTTGAAAGTTAGAAGCGAATTAAGGACTGTAAGTAACTATGTACACGTGCATATTTACTGTGTTCTATCTAGAATCATTCGCGAGGAAACGTTTAAACGAAAATGCTTAAAAATGTTGTATGTACATTGTACATCTTTACAAACATTTCAGGCCTAAGCCCGGGTAGCCGGGTATCAGTTATTCCCACTACCCGGGGCAGAAAACACAGTGTTCTTTTCGCAATAGACAACTGTTGAGCACCCTGTTTCCGTGCGTAAGTTGTGTATGCATGGCGAAAAGGGGAATGAATCTCCCACGAAGGGGATGCAGTAAGAATTCTATTTTAAGAAAATTATGGGGTAGGTTTCGGCAGGAAATATGTATGTATGTATGCACATGTTACATATGTAAAAATCAAAATAAGGGATGGATTCAATTTACGCAGGAATTTCTTTATAAATGCTTACTCATACAAGTGCACTAAGACGTACGCATTTTAAAACACATTTCGCTTGTTTACATACATTTATTTGTACTTCTATCTGCATACTTTTACATGTGTACATGCAC